GTAAACTTGTGTCACAAAGGTTTGTTGTATATATTACTTCATCACCCATTTATTAAACGTAGTACCCATGAGTTATTTTGCCTGATCCTCTCCCTCCTCCCACCCTCCACCTTCCAATAGGCCCCAGTGTCTGTTGTTTCCCTCTTTGTGTCCATGTGTTCTCATCATTTAGCTCCCACTTATGAGAACATGCTGTATTTGGTTTTCTGTAGAACCACTTTCTACACTCTCTTTACTCCTAGTACAGAGTTGTATGGTCCTCATTTTAGGAAAGGGTTCCCAGAAGCAGACCTTGAAGTGAGAAATCACATGCAACTCAATTTATTGAGGAAGTTTTTCAAGGTAGAACTGGGTGTAAAAAGCAGGAAAGAGAAGGGAAGAAGCCAAGCCGAGATTCAGCCTCAGCCTGATCCCACGGGGGAACTTCGGAGTGAAAATTATACCTTAGATTTGTCTGAACTCCAAGGCAAAGGAGCTGGGCTTCCATTTTCCCACACCAGTCAGTCATTGAATAAGGGCCATGATTGAGGGTGTAAAATCTCAGGAACTTCTGTTTCACAGTAGCCACCCCAGTGGCCTAAGGGTGGTTCTCCATAGAGAATCACAGAGATGGATAATTAGAAACATAACATGTAAGAGGTAAGAAAAGGCACCCTGAAAAACTAAAAGAAATTCAAGGTAAGCTGAGTGGAACACTGACAGATATGCTACCACACTAAGGATTCTCTTAAGGACATAGAAAAGGATAATCATTTCTGCAGATATGCAGTTTATTCTACGTGTGTTAATGTTATAAAATGGGGAAGGCATAGGATTAGTATTTAGAAGGCATAGTATTAGTATTTAGCATTTAGAAAGTGTGAGTTTTAGTCCTGGCTTGAATTCATACAAACTTTGTGATCTTGCATGAATCACTCAAACTGCCTGGGCCCCAGTTTCTACATCTATAAAGTGGGTTTATTATTTTTCAGCTTTTTAATACAAATTGATATTTTCTGCTGGCTCCACTGGCTTTTGATATGTTTTAAAATCTCAGACAGAATAGTAGATTTTTCAATTTTGTCTTGTAATTTTGTCTTCATTTTTCTTTTATATTTTAAGCCATAATCTTGGCCATTCAAATACAGGACTGTTCTTTTTTTTTTTTTTTGAGATGGAGTCTCACTCTGTCACTCAGGCTGGAGTGCAGTGGCAGGATCTCAGCTCACTGCAAGCTCCGCCTCCCAGGTTCCCGCCGTTCTTTTGCCTCAGCCTCCCGAGTAGCTGGGACTACAGGCGCCTGCCACCACGCCTGGCCAATTTTTTGTATTTTTAGTCGAGACAGGGTTTATCACTACATAATGTCTCTTTTTATGCTTTTTGGCCTGGATCCAATGTCATCTGACATTCATATTGCCATATCAGCTTTCTTTTGGTTAGTGATTGCATTACTTGTTTTTTCCCATTTCTTTATTTTCAACCTTTCTGGACCATTATGTTTTAAGTGTGTTTATTATAAATCACATATGGTTGGATTTTTATATACCTGGCCTGATAATCTTGCTCTTATAAGTAAGTTGATTCCTTTATATTTATTTTGATTACTGCTCTATTTGGACTTAGTTATTATATATTTTATGTTTACCATGCTCTTTTTTTGCTTATTTTACCTCTTTTCTTTCTTCCTGTTTGATTGATAGTTTTAACATTTTAACATTTTTAAGTAAAAAAAAAATCTGAACAGAATTTAAATGATTTAATATCTCTGCTCTTCTCCCAAATAACCCAAGAACTAAGTATACTTTTAGTACATACTTAGTATCTTTCCCATCTATGTCTTTCTTGGTGTTATTTGAATTTTATCTCATAATGTGAAAAATACCATTCTTTTAAAAAGTCAATAGTTAATTAAATTGATCATAATATTTTATGAAATTCTGTACTGTTGTTTCTGCACTCCACTCCATTCTTCTATGTCTCTTAGGGTGTTTTCTTCTGCCTGAAATACATTCTTCAGCAGTTATTTTAGTGAAGGCTAGTGGGTAATAGTCTCTTTTATTATTTCCATTTCATCTAGAGTGAACGCAGTCCTGTTAGTTTATTTCGTTGCTGTCTTTCCTAGCATTACTTCCTTACGTGTTTTGGAATTTTATTATTGAATGGAGGTCTCTCTCTCTCTCTCTCTCTCTCTCTCTCTGTCTCTTTCTCTCTCCCCCATTTTATGTCTCATAGTCTTGCAGATTTATATTAATCTCTTCTTCCACTATTTCTCAATAACATTTAGTCAAAAACCAGGTCTTATATTGGTAGCTCAAGGCTCCCAAACTGCATTGAAATTGAGGTTTTTGCACATTCAGCTACCAAGTCAGCAGTTAAGCCTAAGTTCAGGATAAAAGACTTTATTTTCTATGGCTTCCCTACTGTCCAGTTTTATAGTTCAGACAGTGGTTTTAAGAGTTTATTTCAGCCCCCTTTAATGCATGAGAGAACCTCAAACTTGTTACTAGTTCCAAGCAATGAATGTGAAGAGTGAATCTCTTACTTCCCATGGGATGCTTTTTAGCTTTGCTACCCACAGGGCCCCAGATGTCTCCATTTGCTTCTGGATGTGGAGTCTATTGAATCTACAAATTCAATCCCAGTCTGAGTTCAATTCCATTTCTGGGTCTCAGAAATATTGATCTCTGTTTCAAGTTGGTTATGTTGTATTAAATTCTTTGCAGGTGTCATATTTTGTATCAGTCAGATACTGCTGAATTAAAAACTTCTAAAACAGAGTAGTTTAGTATAGCAGTTGTTAATTCTCACTAATTTTTCTGGGGTTTGGCTAATGTGGGCTGGGCTCAGCTGGGCAACTGTGCTTTATTCTGCAGGAAGTGAATTGGGGGAATAGAAACCGTGGCTTCTTTATCTCCATGCTATCGGTCTTCTGTTGGTATCCTTGATAGCTCAGCCTGATTATAGCCAAAGGACTAGGGTGACATTGATGCATACATAAGTGCCAGTCTCCTGGGCACAGAGTTGAGTAGAGAAGGTGACAGAAGGCAACGGAGAATATCCAGTGCATGACCCAAGGGGAGTCATGGGCAGTTGGAAAATCACTGGGAGACACAGGTCACGTGCAAACATGAAATGAAGAGGACTCACAAGTTTAAAAAGGATATGATCACCCAAGACATATTTTGGACACTTACTTTCTTGGGCTTTTGGACATTGGCAACTCTTGGCTCAGATGGAGGATACTGAGGCAGAGGGGACCACGTTTCTCCAAGTGGGAAAATCCTGTCACCTTTGGAAGCTTGTCTTGCACTCAAAGAAGTATAGCACCCCATGGACTTTTATGACTTAGGTCTCATTAATCTGGGGTTTTATACTAAAACTAATATAAAAAAAGGAACAAATTTTTCCATTCAGTGGATACTGCAGTGACAGAAAAGCTATTGAGTTCCAGCTCTGCTGCTGTCAAGCTCTGTGACCTTGAACAATTCACACAGCTTCCTTAGCCTCCAGTTTCCTGTTGCAGAAAGTGAGAAGGTTGAATCAAATGCCTTCACATCTCTAAAAACTCAGATAGCTACAGCTTATAGGTGGGATAAATGGCTTGCATTTAAACATTTTTATTCAAAAACCTTCAACAGTAACTGTCCATGTTCTGGTTTCCTTGCTGAATCCCTTGAGCCAAGGGGAATCTTAAAAAATAACTTTGTGTTTTCCATCTTCTCTACTGTAATTCTTAAGTCCATTATTTTCTTCTACACCCCCAAGCAAAGAAAAGCCATCTCTGACAGCTGCTCAAGGCAAACCATGGTTCGATAATGGCAAAAGGAGAAGCTAGCAGCCTACAAATTTAGATTTCCAGCATGTGTACTGATTTCCTGGCCTCATAGACATCTCAGTAATTATTTAGAATTATGCATAATTTACCTACTTTCATTTTCTAAGAAATTGTCAGTTTTAAGGTCAGAGTTTGACAGTTTATTGGTTTGTCCTGTAGAAATAAATTGGGGGCATTTGGAGCTAGAGTCTTTAATGTGTGCAGTTGGGGCCATAGATGTGAAGCTGCCTCCTATTTATAGCTGGGTAAGCTTAATCGTTGCTTTTCAATCTAAATAGAAAGGCTCTGTTTACTGCTGCTTTTAATTGTAGCAAGCTGGTGAAAAGGCATGCAGGGCCTCTTCAGTAAAGGCAACTCAATGAAAGCATTTTGTCAATAAATTATTACTGCCATCATGAAAACCATGCACAGCATTCAAATATAAAGCAAGAAACAGCTCAGATTCTCTCTTCAGTGGGAGAATCTTTGATGAACCCAGTGCATAGCTTTTAAATGTTCTTAATTCATTTTTTTCTCATTTTCTTAGAATATTAGAGCTGATAAGGGCATGTGGTTCTCCTTATTCTTCAGTTTTAATTTTAAGGATGAAAATTTGAGTTCCTTGTGCAGGTCTGAGACATGTTTATGTCCAAAATCATAAAAAGGAAAGATTATCTGGGAAATCAGAATGTCAACCCCCTTTCTGTATGTTCCTGTTTGAAAGAGAACTATGAGGCACATTGAACCTTTATTTAGAGAGTTCCCTCTTTGATAAAGATCTTCTCAAAAGTTTTCTGCCAAATGTGCCATTTTATCATCAAATCTCTGGAATTTGGGTAGCATAAGGATCCAATTCTGATCTGGAACAAAATCACAAACCCAAGTTTTTGAAAGAAAGCTCCAGAAGGAGAAGCTTCGTGTGGGAAGGTAGGTATGAATGGAGGATTATACTCTCCAAACATGACCACTGCAGTAAATGTAGTCACACATGCTCTTCCAGACCTTGACACTCTCCATCAAAAGGAGGAGTCTCTTTCCCCATCTCTTGAACTTTGACAGTCTTTATGAATGCCTCAAATGAGTAGAATGCAACCAAAGTAATTTTTAGTGACTTTTGAAGTTAGGTCATAAAAAGCACTACAATTTCCACTTTTTCTCTTTCAGGATGCTCACCCTTGGAGACCAGCAACAAAGTGTGCAGAAACCAAGGCCATGTGGAGAGGCCCCACGTACGTGTCCAGCTGAGGTCCCAGCTGACAGCTGGCATTGACATGTGAGTGAGACTCTGAACTGTCCCAGCTGATGACAAGTGCAGTTTGAGTGAGCTATCCCTGTTGGACCTGTCAAAACTGCAGATTTCATGAAGAAAATAAGTGTTGTTGATTTAAGCCAGTAAGTTTTGACATACTATGTTAAACAGCCATAGTAATTGGAAGAGTGTGAAACAAATACTAGTCTCTTGAGTCTCATTTTTCTATAAAGTTTATCTTCCCCCTTCCTTGCATAAGGATTCTTTCTCTTTTTCTCTCAGACAGTTCTGTTATCCCTGCTAGTGATGCTATTACTACTTCAAATACTATTGTTTTTATATCTGTTGCTACTACTGAAAATAAGATAGTTTTATAACTAATGTTGAATATGCATCTACTGTACAGATTTACATCCTTAATATGTATTAAATCACTTAATTCTTATATCAAAAGCATTGAATTGTATTGCCCCATGATTCATATGCTGAAGTCCTCACCTTTAGTATTCACAATGTGACCTATTTGGAGATATGGTCTTTAAAGATATGAAATGAAGCCATTAAAGTAGTCCTTAATGCAATATGACTGGTGTCCTTATAAGAAGAGGAGATAGGACACACACAGAAGCAAGATCAGGTGAAGATATAGAGAAAAGATGCCCATCTACAAGCCAAGGACCTCAGAATAAACCAACCCTGTCGAATCTTTGATCTTGACCTTCTAGCTTTCCAAATATGAGAAAACAAATTTCTGTTGTTTAAGCCACAAAGTCTGTGGTACTTTGTTATGGAAAACCTAGAAAACTAATACAACTTTATGAGTAAAGTACTATTAAACTTTAGATAAGGAATCCACAAATGAGAAAGCTGACACATTGTGAAGGTAAGTAACTTGCCCGAGGTTATACAGTTTTATTTCCTTTCAGAAATAAGAAAACAAGGGCCCAATAACTTGAGTTTCATGAAGTTTCACAGTCAGTTTAAAGAAAGATTCAAAACTAAAAAAGTCAAACTCTACCCTATGTTTACAACATTTAGTATCAGGGTCCTCAGAAATCTGTCACTTAGTCCTGTTAGCTAAATTAAGACAGGATGGCAGCATTATTGAGCAACAACTACTTACATAGAGCTTACAACCTCAGTTTTTCTTCCTAAAAGAACCTCAATTTTGTCCAAGTGCCCTGTCTTTATGTAGCCCATGTGAGTCCAAGGAATACCCTCAGCTTCGGGAGTAACTCTGATTGGGTTAAGGGTTAGCCCATACCCCCTTGTCTGTGATTTGTTTATAAAAAGTCCTGTGACCCAGTTCTGGCCAATGATATGTGAAGGGAGGTTTGTGGAAGACTTCTGGGAAAGTTCTGCCTTGCTCTAAAGAACAAGCTGTTCTCCTGCTCTCTCCCCAGATTTGAATGAAAATGGATGAATCCACAATTGTCCTATGGTGGGAACCAGCCTTAAAAATGAAGCCAACCATGTGTATAGCAAAGACAAGAAATGTAGAGAACCTAAGTCCTAGGTAATAACACTGGGGTACTGGATCAACCAGCTTTTATTAAACTTCCTGTTAAATGAGCTTATATATTCTCTCATTTAAAAAAGTCATTTTAGAATATATTGAAATCACTGAAAGTTAACGGCTGCAAAAGCATCTCAGTAGAGTTGACCCTCGTACAAGGTTAAGGTTAGGAGTGTAGACACCCTGTGCTGCCAAAAATCCATGTCTAACTTTTGACTCCCCCAAAACTTAACTAGTAGCAACCAATTGTGGACCAGAAGCCTTCCTGATAACATAAACAGTCAATTATCACATATTTTGTATGTTATATATATTACACACTGTATTCTTATAATAAAGCAACCTAGAGAAAAGGAAATGTTATTAAGAAAATCATTACTGTTCATTAAGTAGAAGTGAATCATCATAAAGGTCTTCGTCCTCTTCTCACTTTGAGTAGGATGAGGAGGAAGAGGAGGGGGTGGTCTTGCTGTCTCAGGGGTGGCAGAGGTAGAAGAGGTGGAGCAGGTTGAAAGGGAGGCAAGAGAGATAGGTGCTTTTATTGTAAAAAGTCCACAGGTATGTGGACCCACACAATTCAAATTCATGTTGTTCAAGGGTCAACAGTAGTTCCAAATTTCTCCAACGGAGCAAATGATCTCTACCCTCTGTCCCCATAGCAGCCATAGCCAAGATTGGCTTTACCTCTTCTAGCTCTGTCTTCTTAGGCTATAAATGGCCAAATGGCTTCCTTCTCACATGAAGGATCATAGGATGAACTCTGTGCAATCTCCCCAAACCAGTCCTGAAATAGAAAATGTTGGAATCTCAGCATTAAGGTGGTCCATTCTGTACAACAGAGCTTAAATGAGGTTATTTCACAGCAACCCTTGCAGCAGAAAGAGAACACGTGGCATATTCCTGGCTTCTTGAGTGAGTCATAGGGCTGGAAAAGAGATCAGGCTCTTCTCTTCTCTAGTCCAAGATTGTTCTTTGCTTCTATTTCCGAGATTTACTGAATGATGATGAAAGTGAAATTAGTTGGTAGTCTTAGCCAGGTAACGATATTTTTAAACTACCAGGAGAAATAGGCTTTGAGGCATCATTTATAGAATGCAAGCTTTTAAATACCAAATATTTATATAGAGCCTTGGTTCTTATGTTTTTAAAGTTTTTCTCTTAATTAATATAATTTTCACCTATTATCAACTCTGGGAGATAACTGTAGCAGGTCTTGTCAATTGCATTATACAAATAATTTGAGACAAGAGGAGTTATTTACTTAAGTTGATTGAATCAAAACTTGAATCTAAAACTCCTGACCCGAAGTCCAGTGCTCTTTCCAATTATTTCTCCACTCGACCTCTTTCACGTTTAAAATTCACTTTAACCTTAACATTTTTTAAAAATAAACTTTTTGAGATAATTGTAGATTCACATGAAGTTATAAAAAATGATACAGAGGAATCTTGTGTACCAATTACCCAGTGTCCTCCAATGGTGACATCTTACAAAACTATAGTGTAATATCACAACAAGGATATTCATATTGATACAGCGAGGATACAGAACATTTCCATCATCACAAGGATCATTCATGCTATACTTTTATAGTCAAACCAACTTCCCTTTCACCCGTACGTGGTCCTTAGCCCCTGGCAACAAGCAATCTGTTTTTCATTTCTTTAATTTTGTGATTTTAAGAATGCTATATAAAGAGAGACTTATCATATGAAATCTTTGGGGATTGGCTTTTCTTTTCAGTCAGTATAATTCCCTGGAGATTTATTCAGATTATTGCATGTATCAGTATCTCCTTCCATTGTCTTGCTGAGTAGTATTTCATTGTACAGAATGGTGTGTTTAACTATGTATCACCTGAAGGACATCTGGGTGCCTTGTAGTTTGGGGCTATTATGAATAAATCTGCTATAAGTATTCATGTACAGGTTTTTGTGTGAACATAAATTTTTATTTATCTGAGATAAATGCTCAGGAGAGCAATTGCTGGGCCATATGGCAGGTGCATTTTTTTTTTTTTTTTTGAGACCGAGTCTCACAGTGTTGCCCAGGCTGGAGTGCAGTGGCATGATCTTGGCTCACTGCAACCTCTGCCCCCCGGGTTCAAGTGATTCTCCTGCCTCAGCCTCCTGAGTAGCTGGGATTACAGGTGCCCAACCCCATGCCCTGCTAATTTACTGTATTTTCAGTAGAGATGGGGTTTCACCGTGTTGGCCAGGCTGGTCTCGAACTCCTGACCTCATGATCTTCCTGCCTCAACCTCCCAAAGTGCTGGGATTACAGGCATGAGCCACCACGCCTGGCCTCGCAGGTGCATGTTTATTCCTTTTTTAAGGAACTGTGGAACTCTTTCCAGAATAGCCACATCACTTTATATTCCCAGCAGCAATATATGAGTGATATGATACCTCTGCATCCTTTCCAATATTTGGTTTTGTTAATTCTTTTTTTTTATTTTAGCTATTCTGATAGATGTATAATGATATCTCTATGTGGTTTTAATTTGCTTTTTCCAAGTGGCTAATGTTGTTGAACTTCCTTTTATGTGTTTAATTTCCATCAATATAACATCTTCAGTGAAATATCTCTTTCTTTTGCCTGTTTTCTAATTGAATTGTTTGTTTACTGTTGCATTTAAGAGCTTTTTATATATCCTAGGTACTAGTCCTTTGACATGTATGTGGTTTGCAAATATTTTCTTCTAGTTTGTACCCTGTCTTTTTATCTCCTTAATAGGTTATTTCACAGAACAAAATTTTCTAACTTTGGTGAAGTTCACTTTTTCAGTTTTTCTTTTTATGGATCACATTTTTGGTGTCTAAGAACTCTTTGCCTAGTCTTATATACCAAAGAGTTTTTCTTGTGTTTTTTTTTTTTTCTAAAGGTTTGATAGGTTTACAAGTTGTAGTAGCCCATTTTCATACTGCTATGAAAAAACACCCGAGACTGGGTGATTTATAAAGAAAAAAGAGGTTTAATAGACTCAACAGTTCCACATGGCTGGAGAGGCCTCACAGTCATGGCAGAAAATGAAGGAGGAGCAAAGGCATGTCTTACATGGTGGCAGGCAAGAGACCAATTGCAGGGGACCTTCCCTTTATAAAACCATCAGATCTTGTGAGACTTATTCACTGTCATGAGAACAGCATGGAAAAACCCACCCCTATAATTCAATTACCTCCCACTGGGTCCCTCCCACAACAACTGGGAATTATGGAAGCTACAATTCAAGATGAGATTTGGGTGATGATACAGCCAAACCATATCGCAAGTGGATAATAAATTTTAGTTAATTTTTGTATAAGATGTGAAACTTAGAGTTCATTTTATAGTTTATGGATGTTTAATTGTGCCATCACCTTTTGTTGAAAACATCTGTAGTGATATTCCCTGTTTCATTCCTGATACTGACCTTTCTTCTTTTTGTCTGCTTTGATTGAGGTTTGTAAATATCATTGATGTTTTCAAGGAACCCGCTCTTTATTGATTTTAAGTTTTCAATTTCATTGATTTTTTTGCTCTTATTTTTGTTGTGCCCTCCCTTCTCTTTGAAGTGGGAGGTTAGATTTTTTATTTGAGACTTTTCTTCTTTTGCAATGTATGCACTTAGTGATATACATTTTACTCTCAGCACAATTTTAGCTGTGTCCTACACAATTTTTAATTGACACTTAATAGTTATACATATTTATGCAGTATAGTATATTTTGACACCTATGTGTAATGATCAAATCAAAGTCATTAGCATATCCATTTTCTCAAACATTTATCATTTCTTTCTGTTAGGAATGTTTAAACTTCTTCTATTTATTTCAAAACATAAAATATTGCTAACTATAGTAACTTTAGAGTGCTGAAAAACACTATAACTTATTTACCTTACCTAGCTGTAATTTTGTATCTGTTAACCAACCTCTCCCTATTTCCTCCTTCCCCCTTCCCTGACCAGCCTCTAGTAACCATTGTTCTACTCTTTACTTCCATACCTCAATTTTTTTAGCATCCACACATAAGTGAGAACATGCAGTATTTCACTTAACATAATGCCCTCCAGGCTCATCCATGTTGCCACAAATGGCAAGATTTTATTTTTTATGTGGCTGAATAGTATCCCATTGCATATATATGTGTCACATTTTCTTTATCCATTTGTCTTTTTTTTGTTACCAAACATTCATTTTCATTCATCTGTTGATGCATACTTAGGTTGATCTGTATCTTGGCCATTGTGAATAAATGAACATTGGAGTTCCTTTATAAATAAATAAATTATTTATTTATTTATAAATAATAAACATAGAAGTGCACATATCTCTTTGACATACCGATATTCTTTCCTTTAAATATATATTCGGTAGTGGCATTGCTGGATCATATGATAGTTGTATTTTTAGTTTTTTGAGAAAACTCGCTACTCTTTCTCATAAGGTCTGTACTAATTTATATTTCCACCAACGGTGTACAAGAGTTCCCTTTTTCTCTACATCTTTGCTAGCATTTGCTATTTTTTATCTTTTTTTTATAATTAGCCATCTTATGGATCAAATACTTAAATCTAAGCCTTGAAACTGTAAAAATTTTAGAGGGTAACATCCCCAAAACTCTGCTAGACATTGACTTAGGCAAAGAGTTCATGACCAAGAACCCAAAACCAAATGCAACAAAAACAAAGATAAATAGATGGGACTTAATTAAACTAAAAAGCTCTTGCACAGCAAAAGAAATAATCCACAGAGTTAACAGACAACCCACAGAGTGGGAGAAAATATTCACAAACTATGCATCCAACAAAGGACTAATATCCATAATCTACAAGGAACTCAAACAAATCAGCAAGAACAAACAAATAATCTCATCAAAAAGTGGGCTAAGGACTTGAATAAACAATTCTCAAAAGAAGATAGACAAATGGCCAACAAACATATGAGAAAATGCTCAACATGACTAATCATTAGTGAAATGAAAATTAAAATCAAAATGTGTTACCGCCTTACTCCTGCTGGTGGGAATGTAAACTAGTCCAACCTCTATGGAAAACAGCATGGAGACTCAAAGA